CAGGTGTACAGGGAAAGGTTTTGCCACTGTAGTTAACATAAATTTAAAATTTAATATAGAAGGTAACGTACACAAGTGAAAGCTGGACCCCATTTTATGTGGAGCAAGTAGGAGCACAGTGCCATGGAGAGAATGAAGGTCTAAGTCAATACCAAGGAAGCACTGCATACTTATTCAACAATCTTTGTTAATATGATTTATTTTAACAACTACTGTAGCATTGGCTTGAGAAGCAATGTTCTTATTCATTATTCTGTTTACAGGGGTCAGGTGCCTGCTGAGGCAGAACTGAATTACTTAGGAGTGGCCAAATCGCTGGAAATGTATGGTGTAGATCTCCATCCTGTCTATGTAAGTACTTAATTGTATGTAAGTATGTAAGTTTTAATTGAAGCTAAGTAGTTTAAATTTGATGGCATTACAAAAAATCTTTTAAACTGAAATGGAAAGCTGTTGTTATACTACTTAGTAAACAAGTGGTATTTTTTTTTAAAAAAAGCAAATTTAAAAAGTCCAAGAAAAAAGTACTTATGAACAATATGAACTAACTCAGTTTATATCTAAGGAAGCCTAATGGGTTTTGAATGAAAGAATGTGATTTTATTTCCCTCTGAAAGACAGTTAACTGTGCTGAGCTAACAATATGGGTTACAAATTTAAGAGCGTTAATATAATTGTCAGAAGAAGATAAAAGAGAGTTATAATTGCTGTGTTCAGACAGGAATATGAAAATAATGCAATAAACTGAGAGAGCACTGAAAAGGCTTCAAAGTCACCGCCAAAAAAAAAAAAGATAATGAATACCTGATTTGGGGTAGGAGTGCGTGAGACTTCAGAGGTTTATTTTAGTATTTAGTGTGAAGGTTATTAAAGAGCCAGGGCATGTTTTAAAAATCTCTCTGCAAAAACATGCAACATTTCATATTTTTCATGCCCTCAGAAGATTCTTCCATCTGTATTATGAAATAGTATGTATGCCAGGATTCAAGCTTTTACCTGAAGGCTACAGTGCTCAGTTTACTTGGCAATTAAAATTATTTTGTTTCAATAATTGAACATATGGCATTTTTAAAACAAAAGAATATCTCAAACTATGAAAATAAGTTAAATTGTGGAACTTTAATAGAAACATTTTGCTAATTTAAAGTTAGCTGATTTAAATTTCAGTACTGTACTGTGAAAAGTTGTTCAAAAGAAAATTCTACGAAACTCTTCAAAGATTAATTATGTAATTTGCTGAAAATTGCATAGCTTACTGGATGAAGTATTTCTCTGTTACTAAATCACAGATTGTGCCACTATTTTTGGAATCAATGCCTATGAGGTATCATGGCCCCTTCTGCTAAAGGAAGCTGAGACACTTAATGGAACAGTTTTCTATGCACTGCCAAGTTAAGCGTATCAAAATTGCCTAGCCTGGGAAGCTTGTTTTGGCTCAGTCTTGTTGAGTTGTACACAAAGATCCACAAATGAGTAGGGAGAACGCATTGTAATGTGTCTTTGCAATCTGTACTCTGGCCATCTGAATCTAGCCATTGATTAATATTACTACTATTTAATATTTATATTACAACAGTGCCAAAAGCTCTCATTCAGAATTGAAACTCCATTGTACTAAATGCTAACCTATCCAAGGACATTGTCCCTACCCTAAGGTATCTACACTATAAATAAGCTCCCTATGAATAGTCTTGAAGGTTAGTTAACTCAGTGAAATTACAGTGGTACAGAAATTCAGGGAGGACATGCATCTGCATGTTCCCAATTCAGAATTTTACTTCGTTAAATTCACTTTCTGCAGTCATTTGATCTTGTGACTGACATCTTTATGATGCAGACTTTGCTGGTCTGGGACTAATGTGGCTACTCCATATTCTGCTAAAAAGGTAAATTAACTAATTTCTCTTGTATTTTTGCTGCATAGCCTGTCTCTGTGAGCAGCTGTGTGCTCTAAGATGTCTAGTCTTTATAGAGCCTTCAGTATAGTGGGATATACCAGGACAATAGTGACAATTTATAGAGACAAAATTTAGGAGGACCGTGCCTGGATAGTGGCACAGTCTTTGCCCTACTGAGGCAGGATGTTTTTACTCTTCTGTTTCCAATCCTCTTCACATTGTGGAAGTGGAGACCTGCCACAATGTTATCATAGAAGGGAATGAGTAGGAAGCTTAGCCAACAGTGGAGCCACTGGACTAGAGGGTCATGGCTGAATTCTCTGCTGCTGGTGGACAGAGGAGGGGGCGGGAAGCAATTTTAGTTCATCTGCATCATCTGGAATAGTCCATCTGGCCTGTTTCCACTCCCAGCCTTGCTCATTGAGCTCAGTAGCTGCAAAGGCGTTTCTTTGATAGTGAGAAGAAAAGAGGACAACTAGCTGCAGTCACTGCTAACTGGGAATGGGCAGGCATCACAGGGGTGGAGTAACTTTTGCTCATTCTGCAACAAAATTTGAATTCAGATAAAAATGTCATTACATTTTCCTTAGCAAATGCTTCCAAAAGTAGAACCCAACATAAAGGAGCTCCCTGAAGAAACAAAGGGTTATAATGCTAGAAATGTACATGAGCCCTGTAACTCAAAGGGACACAAGTTCATGTGTTGTTGAAAACTGAGAGAACATATGGCTGGCGTCTGTCCAGCATCACAACTGGATGCCGTACAGAACTTTACTGGGTCACTCCTAGCAGTCATTTTAACTCTTGTCCAGTTCTGATTGACCCAAGAAAATTATGGTGCGAATTCATAGTGAGATTTCTAAGTTTTTACCGTATATTCCGGCGTACAAGACGACCTCTGATGTTAAAAAACATCCCCCAAAAATCGGGGGTCGTCTTGTACGCCGGATGCCCCGCCGCCGGAGCCCCTCCGCGGCTTTGAAAGCCTCGGGGGAAGCCGGCGGGGGGGCATCCCAGGCGCGCATGTGCAATCTCCCTGTATTATTTTCCCATTTTTCTGACTTACTCTTGAGGGGAAGCTTTCTAAAAAATGTGGACCAGGATCTTGTGTTATGTCTGAATGTTTTTCAGGCTTGGGCCCTGCTGGAGATACTGTCATAACAAGGCACTTCAGCCAACATGAACAATTCATTTCGCTCCCAGTCTGTAATGTTACCTGTTAAACTATTTGTGAGATTTTGCCTGAACAGAGAAGTAACATTTTTTTTCTAGGACCAGAAGTTTATGATGGCAAGGATGCAATCAGACCACTGTTCACTGTACAGACCTTAATGTTGAAAGTACCAGAGGTGCTGCAGTTTGGTGCATATCAGAGCTATTATAGATTGTCACTGAATTATTGCATATTGCAAAGTGCTCAAACTTTCCCGGTGCCTCTGGTCTGCTGGGGACCATCTCCAGCAGACCAGGGACACCGGGAGCAAAGGAGGCGGAGGGGCGCTGGGGTATAAGATGAAACCCTATCTTTTAATTAAAAAGATAGGGGGTCGTCTTATACACCCAGTCGCCCTATACGCCGGAAAATACGGTACTCAATGTAACCGAACAAAGGTTTCAGAGAGTATTCTTTCCCTTAGGTGCCCTGCTCAAAAAATCAGGGGGTGTTAAATCTCTTAAGACTCAAATTCTTTGGCTTATAAATGCTTTGAAACTGAAACACTAAGGAACAGCCTTGTTAGAGATAGGAGGCTATACTGTGTTAATAAAGGATGCTTTCCTATTTATTCCAGTCAGAGAGTCTCACCACAAATGCCTTGGCTTGACATAGAGAAAATTCCTTGTCAATTCTAATCTCTTCTTTCCAGAATTTCATTCTGCGTGATTTTGAATATTTACCATGAATTGTCAAAGCAGTTGCAATTTTTCATAAGAATTTCCATGTTATCTTGCACCAAGGTGATGACTATATAGACCCCAGCAACCCAAGACATATTTCATATGGGGAAGGAATCGGGTCCTTCCTTGTCATGGACTCTATTATTCATTTTGAGAAAAGTGCTCTGAATCTCTTATTGTAGTTGGTTTGTTTGGGAACCCTCCACAGCAGCACCAGGGTAACAGTGTTTCAATAAGGAAAAGGTGTTTTCAATCCTGTTATGAGGAAGTAAGCCAGGCTAACATTATACATCTTTGCTCAAGAGTTTGGACTATTGTTAGGGAATTTATTCTCTGGGTTTTATGCCTCTCACCCTCCCTCATGGCCCAAATCTTCCTGAAAGTGCATGTTCATTAGACCCAGGCATGATGGGAAGTCCATGTTCTTATTCAAAAAACTTTGGACTTTGTGGCTAGGCTGCACACAAGGGGTGGACTAGGTGACAAATCTAACTCAGCAAGCTTTAGAGGGGTAGCTGAGTAAGTCTATAACTGGAAAAATTTAAAAAACAACAAATAGTCTAGCAGTACCTTAAAGACTACCAAAACATGTAGATGGTATCATGAGCTTTTGTGGGCACAACCCACTTCTTCAGATAAATGCAGTATTAAAAGTCCAGATCCAAGAATAAATAGGGGAAGAGGAAGAAGGGAAATTAGTGAATTAGTGTATTCAAGTTACAAGAAACTGATAAGAACAATTTGCACTTTCTCTAAGTACCCATTGTTTAGTTGGTTAAGTCATTAGGATGTGGAAGGTAGTGTACTAGACAGCCAGTGTCTTTATTCAGACCTCTATGATAGGATCAAACTTGTAAATGAAGTTAAGTTCCAACCCTTCCCTGTGTATTTGGCTTGTGGAATTGGCCTGAAACAACACGGTGATTTGAGATCCATTAATGAGTGCCTGGGCAGGTTAAAGTGTTCTCTAACAGGTTTTTGTGTCTTGCCTTTTTGGATATCTGATTTGTGTCCATTAATTCTTTCTTGTAGAGACTGTCCAGTTTGGCCAATATACATGGCAGAAGGGCATTGCTGGCATACATCACATTTGTGGATGTGCAGTTAAACGAGCCCCTGATGTAGTTGTTGATGTGGTTGGGTCCAGTAATGAAATCTCTTGTGTAGATGTATGGACAGAATTGGCACCGGGGCTGATTTCAGGGGTGGGTTCCTGGATGATTATGATGGAGGTATGCTGCGTGGATGCTGGAAATAATTTGTTTGAGGTTAGGGTGGTGTCTGTAGGCGAGGATTGGCCTTTCCCCCAAGGCCTGTGAGAGTGAGGGGTCATTTTCCAGGGTAAGTTGTAGATTGTTGATAATGCGTTAGAGAGGTTTAAGTTTTGGACTATAGGTGATGACGCATGGAATTCTGTTGTTTTCTCTTCTTGGCCTGTCTAGAAGTAGTTCATGTCCGGGTACTCTTCTGGCTCTGTCGAGCTGTTTTTTCACTTCTCCAGGTGGGCATTTCAGTTTTAAGAATGCTCTATATAGATCCTGCAGGTGTTTGTCTCTGTCTGTGGGATTGGAACAGATCCGGTTGTATTTTAGGGCTTGGCTGTATAATAGATTGGGAAATGTGTCTGGGATAGAAGCTAGAGGCATGAAGGTAAGTGTAGCGGGCGGTAGGTTGGGGTGGTAGAAATGTGTCCGTCATGTAATTGTACTGTAGTGTCAAGGAAGTGGGTCTTTCGTGTGGACTGATTCAAGCTAAGGTTGATGGTGTGGTGGAAGTTGTTGAAATCTTTGTGAAATTCTTCGAGTCTCTTTCCTGTGAGTCCATATGATGAAGTTGTCATCAATGTAGCATAAGTAGAGCAAGCGTGTTAGAGGGTGAGAGCTGAGGAAACATTGTTCAAGGTCAGCCATAAAAATGTTGGTATATTGTGGTACCATGTGGGTGCCCATGGCTGTGCCACTGACTTGAAGATAAAAGTGATCTCTGAATCGGAAGTAGTTGTGGGTGAGGACAAAGTCGCAGAGCTCTGTAATCGGGTGTGCAGTGGTGTCATCAGGGATGGTATTCCTAAGTCATCAAATCAGTCTTTGGGAGACAAAGGAGCAGATTGGTGGAGCCTCTTCAGAAATACAATTTTAAGATAGGAAATAATTTTGAGGAGTGGCTTGGCATAATGCTTGCTCAAAAATTAGTTGGACATTTGTCTGAAAGAAAGTACCAAGAAAGTGTGGGTTAGAAGAACAGCCTGTAGAATGTTTTGAGAGACCTCTCTTCTGCTGGAAGTCCCTCCCTTGTGCCTTGCCACACTGGCAGCTCCTATCTCCATACGCATGGTGGGATTAACTCGTAATTTTAAAATAGTTTTTATTTCAGGGGTGGAGATCTTTTTTTTGGATCGGGTGCCACTGACCCACAGACAAGTCATTTGGGAGCCACACACAAGTGACACGCAAAAAAAATAACCCCAAACAAAAAAACACCTCAGTGATGTAGATTGTATGTGCTCCAGCCCAGCAGTGAGGCAGCAGGCGGCTGGAGTACCAATACGGGCTCCCCAATGTGAGGGGGCCCTTGGGAGCCTGATCCAGGCAAGCCTGGGGCTGCATCCTGCCCCAGGCCTAAGATTCCCCACCCCTGTTTTATTGAATTTGGTACATGTATGCTGATTAGATCAGGGAGATGACTAGTTACGTCATTTTCTGTCTCTCCCTTTGATTGCAGTTTTTGTTGATCAGTCTCATGGTTCATGTGTCTTGCTAGAATAGGTCCATTCTACTGTAGCAACCACTGAGGAATGTATACATTATGGGTGCCTCTAGACTGGCAACTGCTTTTGTGCAAAAACTTACCAGCTGTCTACACTGTCCGCTTGAATTTGCACAAGAGCACTGACTTTGTAATGTACAAAATCAGTGCTTCTTGCACAAATACTTTCATGCTCCCGCTTGGGAAAAAGCCCTCTTGGGCCAGTGTAGACAGGGAAGAACTGTTTTGCGCAAAAAAGCGCCGATGGCTAAAATGGTGATCGGGGCTTTCTTGCGCAAAATCATATCTAGACTGGCCATGGATGCTTTTGCGCAAAAGCAAATATTTTGCGCAAAGGCACTTGCCAATCTAGACGCGCTTTTGCGGAAATATTTTAACGGAAAAACTTTTCCAATAAAAGTATTTCCGCAAAGTCATGCTAGTCTAGACACAGCCTATGAGTAAATACTATATCTGATGAAATGTGAAATTGTGACTGGAATTACTTTCTTTAGATTTTTAAATAAGAGAAATAATAGCAATTTTGTTAATTTTCTCACTCTTACCTGATTCATTTAAGTATTCCTTTCTTATGAGAGCAACCCCATTAAAGCTTATAGAATTACTCCCATGAGTAAAGATTACTCTTGGAAGAAAGAATTTTGTGGGATTAGGTGGCTACCTTACTAAGGTGATGATAACCTCTTATAGAGAGGTTTTCATGAGCAGATTATCCCCATTTTACAGATGAGCAGACTTAATTAAGATCAGAGAAGTTAAAGTGACTTGCCCAAAGTTACCCAGCACAGTGTTCTATACACCAGACTATACTGCTTTTAGGTTACATCTATAAAAATAAAATTGTGGTTGTCAGTAATAAAATGACACATGTTCTTTTTTTCCAGGGTGAAAACAAGTCTGAATATTTTTTAGGATTAACACCAGTAGGAGTTGTTGTTTACAAGAATAAAAAACAAGTAGGGAAGTATTTCTGGTATGTACAATGTAATATTGCAGACTGTATTAATATAACGTGGCTATAAGAGAAATGAGTATTGAATATATGTACATTATTTCTGGTTGGTTTTATAAAAACTAAATCAATGTACTTGTCAGAATCACTTTCTGTTTAGAACTTTATTCTATTCTTAATATTGCAAGAGATCGTTTTAACTTTCCCTGCTCACATTAAAGTGTTTGTTAGTATCACTTTTTTTCTTGTTGTAATATATTCAGACATATTGGAGCACTAGTAAAAGTTGTTGTGTGTGAACTGCTTACTGGAACTCTTCTTTCAAGTTTTTTGTTTCTTCGTTGTGTATTTCTGATGGGTTGGATTTAAGTACTTCTCTATCTTTTTCTTCAATATTTAGGCCTAGAATTACAAAGGTTCACTTCAAGGAAACGCAGTTTGAACTTAGAGTGCTGGGAAAAGATGTAAGTTTTCATTTTAAGTCTGAAAGAAGAAATAATCAAGTTAACTGTTTAGTGTGTATAGTGAAATGAAACTATTATTGCCAGTTTTGCTTTTAATCTCCATCACAAAAACTCTTATACTGCAGAATGCCTATTCATGTACAAACAAGTCTTAGTTCTACTTTAAAATAAATTACATACAGCAGTAGTTGCTGTCTGATGGTATATGTATATAGTATTTGTATGAAATACCTGGAATTATTTTAGATGTTTAACAAGGTGAATGGGAAATCTGGAAGCTTGAGAAAGGAGACATAGATTTATGGAGTGGCTGACTCATAAACTTGTTGAAAGTTGTATATTGCGCTCATAATAGGCAATCTTCCTAGTACCATTTGGCAGTTTCAAGCCCTGACAGGTAATTTTAGAAAAGCGAGAACAAAAGGTGTGAAAGATCATGAAAATCTGGACCGTGAATTATTCGTCTTTGAAGTTGTATAGCAATACCCTCTATTTTGACAGTACTGGGAGATGCTAGAAAAGTCCAAGCATATCCATCTTTCTGTTTTTTATACCTGTTTTTTTATTACTACAAAGGCGGTTGGTTAATGAAATAAGTAATTGTGTCAGTTGTCTTATTTTTTCTGATTCTTTATCATCATAATGCTCGTTTATGCAGATAAATACACAAATGAGCAGTGTGGCTGGCCTGCTTCTGAATTCCAACATCAGCATGCTACAGGATAGCCCCAGATTTCTTTTATTCTCTTTATATCATGGAATAAATGCCAGCCCCTTGTCATTTCACAGGGGAACTGAGACAAGAATTAACAATAGGATATGGGTGCCAAAAGGCCACTTCTACATTGTGCTTCATTCTGTGAGACATCCTACCATGGAAGAGGTAGGGACTATCCTTTCTCCCTACAGATATAATGTGACCACACTTGGAGTATTGCATTCATTTCCAGGCACCTCAGTTACCAGAAAGATACTGACAGGTAGCATTAGCATTATAGGAACAGTAATTTCAAGCCACCTTTCTAAAACTTTCAAGAAAATTGATCATATGAACTCTAGGTTAGTATTCTGACCACTGCTTTTTCTTTTATGTATGGGTGTGTGCATGGTCGTGTCTGAAGGTGTTCATACTGGATCCTTGAAACACAGATTGAAGTGATGTGCCTAAAACCCAAACATGAAAAAGGCATGGTGATAGTTGGGTTTTATTATGCTCTTACACAGTCTAAGAAATTATATACAGGACAATGTAGCACTTTAAAGACTAACAAGATGGTTTATTAGATGATGAGCTTTTGTGGGCCAGACCCACTTCCTCAGATCAAATAGTGGAAGAAAGTAGTCACAACCATATATACCAAAGGATACAATTAAAAAAAAATGAACAAATATGAAAAGGACAAATCACATTGAGGTAAATGTCTGTGAGCTAATGGTATCAGAGGTGATAATTGGGGAAGCTATCTTTGTAATGGGTAAGATAGCTAGGGTCTTTGTTGAGACCCACGCGTAGAACGTCGAATTTTAGCATGAATGACAGTTGACAGTTCAGAGGATTCCCTTTCAAGTGCAGATTTAAAAGGCTTCTGAAGCAGGATGCAGGTAATTAAGTCATTGAGACAGTGTCCTTTCTGGTTGAAATTATGACATTTTACAGCCAAATACTGAGGTGTATGAAATAATAACATATTCTACATTAGAATAGAATCCTGAAAACCCTTACTCATAAAAGTAGTTCTTACTCACTTGAGTATCAGTTCCTTGTGGCTATTTACATGAACAAGGATTCACCACATGAATAAAGGTTTGGCAGGGAGAGCTCTCATTTGTCAGTCATGAATTATTGTGAAAGTGAACAAAAGGGCTGAGAATGTGGTTAGTACAGAATGATAAAGGAAATCGCGAACACATATGGTGCAATTGTAAGACCTAATAAACTGACTATTTGAGTCAATGGAAAGACTTCCATTGGATTCACTGGGCTTTGGATCAGGTCTATTGGGTCAATTCAGCAACAAACAGATGCCTGTTTTTAAACATCTGAATGATCATACACAATATTTCTAGCTTATTTAGATTTTGTATTTGGTCTGTTTACTTCTCAGATGATACTATCAATGCTGTGCATCAGTGTATCAGCACATTTAATCATGCATATCTCATTGGAATTCTTGCATGCTTAATTGGACATTTGCTTAAATACCTTGCTTGCTGAATGGCTGCCTTGGATTTTTTTTTAAAAGCAGCTGTGCTCATCTGTTTTGTGACAGACAAATAAAGTCTGGGGACTGTCAGTTTAGCGCCTTTCATAAATAGTATGTTAATTTTTTCATTAAAAATAGAGGAAAAAATCAAACTGTAGCCAGAATATTTAAATAAATACAGAGTTTAAAATAAAATTGTGCTGAATATTTGTCTGTAGAGTTTGTGTAGGTGGGTTTTTTTTTTTTTTTTTGAGAGAGAAAGAGATGGATGTTAACTAAAATGGAACACTCCTAATTTGCCTTCACAGATTGATGATGATAGTGAAATTCTACAAATCAGATTTCAGAATTTCCTGCCTTTTAGGTAGGACTTTTACAGCATAGGAGAGTCTCATAGACTTCATGGACAGAAGGGACCATTGTGATCATCTTGTTTATCTCCTGCACGTTCCAGGACACAGGACCTCGTCCACTCCTGTGTGGCATAGAAGAGATGAAACTGAGGCAGATGATCTAGCTGCAAATTTAAGTTAAATCCCATCCCGCCCCCCAAAAGAGTAATTTGTTCCTGTTACTTAAGAATTACAAACAGTGATTCAGTTTTTTATTTTTTTAAAAACTTTTTCTTTTTTTGCGTTTACATTAATTGAAATCAATGGGGTAGTATGAGTGAAAGGAAATGCAGAGATTTGATCCACTAGCTCTGGTGATTTGTACTAATTTTTTTCCTCCCTGCTTACCCGCTCAACCCTCTGCTACTTGTACAAGTAAGAGTTGTGTCATGGTTAATAGGTGAGTCACCACTAATCAGCCTTCTGTTTAACGTACAGTGGAATAAAATTCTTGGCAAACCAGCGGTGGTGGCTTAATTTTCAGGTTTATTTTTTGGCCTTTTGTGAGTGATTGCTTAGTAAAGTTTTTATATTGTTGTTATTTTATGAGGGTAAGATATTTCAAATCTTAAAGACTTTATGCAGTAATAGTGCAGATTTATTATTCTGATATTTGACTTGTGTGATGTACTTTAAGATAATTATCTTTTTGACTGTAGAGTTGAGGTGACCTTGTGTAACCTGTACATTCTTAATTGCATAAGCTAGGATTGGTATGCATTAGGTAAATGTATTAAAAAAAAAAAACCCTTAAGAACATTTTCTGCTGGAGGAAACAAATGGCAATCTCCAGTTATGTATATGACTTGGCAAAGAATAATATGTGGAAGCAGTAGCTCAGAGCAAAAATTGTATACAGCCAGTCCCCGAGTTGCAAACAGTCGAGTTATGGCTGTTCGCATTTACGACCAAAGCTCCCATGGAGCTTACAAACAGCATGGTCGCTATGTAACTCAATGGGGTCCGAGTTACGAACAGATCGAGTTATGGCCAAGTGTTTGGTCTGTAACTCGTTCGTAACTCGGGGAGAGGCGGTATTCGGCAATGCTTCATCTTACTGAAGCAAAGTAGAAACGTATATGAAATCACATCTCTACCTGCACTGATTTACACTCAACTCAGCTGACAGGAGTAAGGAGAGGGAGAAGTCACATTTTTGCTTCTATAAATCTGGTCTGGCTGGAGACCAGAATAGGCCCTTTCATAAATTAGTGTAGTTTATGGTTACTTTATGTTGTGTTGACTACCACATCCTCATAGGATCCGTCCAGTCTGGCTCCTTTTGCAGTTGCATACTCCTAACATACCATCTAACCACTCCTGACATGCTTCTATGTAGGTGGAGGAAGTAGATGGCATAGTGCCATATGCAAGACCAATCAACTCTTAGGAGAAACCTCAACTGTCTCTGTCAGCTTGCAACTCTTTTGGACTACTGAAGCAGCACAAAACATTCAAAGATGGAGCTGAGGATCTATCCTGTAGCATTTAGTAGGTGCACGATGCTCTGCTTTCCTTATTCAACTCTTGTTTTGTCTTTTGATAGTTTGCTGCTCTACTCTCTGCAAGTAGGCACTCTAATAGCAATTGGATAAGCAATGTAAAGCTGCTTGAAAAACTCAAACTAATACCAAATGAGCCTGTAATTAATTATTTCTAACAAAATGATAAACTACACAAGCTCTTTGTTTCCTTTGGAACAAATATTTTAAAATAATGGCGGGGGGGGGGGGGGGGGGGGGGGGGGAGTGAATTCTCACTTTAAAATATTATTGTTACTCAAGATAAAGTGCTATTGCTTAATGGAAATAAATGCTGCTCGTGTCCCGTCCCCCCTCAGGCACTCAGTTCTGCTCACTTAACCCATGTGAGCAACTTGCTTGCAAAATAAGATCAATAATAGCGATTCCACAAGGGTATAATGATTAACCTTGGAAGACATTATCCCATTAAGTTAGGTCTTATATTCATATGCACACTCATGTTTACAGATTGTGCAGATAGTCCCAGAGCTGTTGCGGTTTGTTTCTATGTGGTTACCATCTTAAAACATAAATAGAAAAATATTGAAAACCTAGATATGCTTGGGATATGGTGTTGGTGAGAATTTTAATGATGAGGCTGAATCCTCCAAAGTGAAAAATGGTAGAAGAAATTACCAACTATATAATCCTAAATTAGCTGAACACCTCGCGAGTTGACATCTCAGTGAGATAAAGGATTTCTTTCTTTGGTTTTCTGTGAAATTCACTATGTGATATGACTGAATACAAGTATCTAATTCAGTGACCTTCCTGAGTTTTTAAAGCATGCATTTTTTTTGTTTTCATTAATTTGAGCTAAATAAGACATATCATAAAAGGCTTGCATTTTTAAAAGGTGTTGTATTATCCCCATATTCTGAGCTCTATAATACTTTCAGTGGGCAGATGTGATCATGTGCAAAAGAATCATCAGTACCACTCTAGTTTGCTATATTTTAAATGTATGCAGTCAAACTCCCTTCTTGTTACCGGTACTCTTTTTGTCAGTGGAGGTGTGCTTTTATCTCATTAAATAATCCTACAAAGGCTCGAATTATTAGCATTTTCTTATTTACAGTTGAGATTTTTCATCCATAAGAAATATTCTTTATATATACAAGCAGAATACCTGTTTCTAATAATAAATTTTATGTAATACCAAAAGGATAACATGTAATTGGTTTGCATCAGAGATTTCAATAAATGATACCACAAGACTAGCAGACTCATATAGGGCTACTTCAATGGGAATTATTCCAATGATTTCAGTGGGCTTTGGATCAAAATGAGGAATGGCAAATTTTGGGGAATACACTAGATTAGTTCATGATTTGCAGGTTTGTTTACAAATCGTAGTTGCAGTTTAAATGAAAAATATGAGAAACCTGAATGAACATGCACATGCACGTACACACACATCATGCTGTATGTGCAGGCATCCATTTTGTAAAACCAGCTACAGATTGAACCACTCTGGTCTGGCAACATTCGTGGTCTGGCATGTTTTTAATTAGCAGGATATCTACTTTTCTTGGGTATGACCAAGTTTCCCGCAGTCCCCAAAAGTTTGTTTACAATCACCAGTCCTGGCTCTCAGTATTCTGTGCTGTTATTTAGCTCTAATTTACCTTTAAATGTCTTATAAGAGCCCACTAAGCAGTAGAAGTGTTGGAAATGCTGCTAGACAATATTGACCCCCATGATTTGGCAAATTCTTTAGTTTGGCACCAACAGTGCTGGATTAGAGAGGGTCAGCCTGTACTAAAAATGAGAAAAGTTCCGTTTATTTTTTGGATTGAGGAAACTCTTTTAGGACCTGAGTCTGTCGCTCATACTGAGGAGTATTCATTACATGAATAATCCAGTGGAAATCAGTGGGACTATGTGGTAGTAAACTACTATGTGCTCAGTGTAACAGTGACAGAACTAGGTGACTGGATGACTAATAGAGTTTAAGGTTATTCATGTTGCATCTTGAAATTTATAATTTGTTGAGAAAGTTTAGTATAATCCTGAAAGACTTAATGTCAGTAGACAAAATGTTCAAACATGGGTTTCTTAAAAGATAGGCTTCTGAGTTTAGAGAGACAGGGTAAGTGAGGTAATAGCTTTTATTGGACTAGCTTGTGTTAAAAAGCTTCAGAGGGGTAGCCAAGTGAGTCTATAACTGGAAAAATTTAAAAAACAATGAATAGTCTAGCTGCACCTTAAAGACTAACAAAACATGTAGATGGTATCATGAGCTTTTGTGGGCATAACCCACTTCTTCAGATGAATTATTAGACTTCCCCAAGTCAGCCGCTGCTGAAACTGACCAGCGGCTGACTCCGAGGGGCGGCGCTACGGGACCAGTCCGGCAGCACCCCAGCTGCTCTGCCCCAGGCGTCCCCAAGTCAGCTGCTGCTGAAACTGACCAGCGGCTGACTTGAGGAAGCCCGGGACAGAGCAGCTCCAATTGTCCGGCTGCCTGGAGCACTTCCGGGTTCCAGGTGGTGCCAGACTATCAGGAGTGCCAGACCACTGGATGCCGGACAACTGGAGTTTTACTGTACTATGAATACCAATTTATTTCATAAGCTGGGTTTTGAATGCAATCTATCAGAAAGGAAATGTATAGCTCTGTTTAGAATCACTGTATGCGTAATGAAGGTTGTTGTTTTCTGTAACCTATACAAGACAGGATCTACACAGATGGCACAGAGTGAAAATGTACATGCTTTATTTAAAGCAAGTTGTACTGGGAAATGCAGACACTTAAACTCACATGGGTAATCTGGTGATATCAATGAAATTCATGGTATAAACATATCCACATCCTCTCCTTTAAAACTTCTAGTTGGTTCATCCTATTTCTGGGTAACCTTGGTTCAGTCTCTTCCAACATTTGTTCACTTATGTCAGTTTTGAGGACTGTACTTGTTTTGGTGAGTCTGTCTCTTATCTGTTGGGTTTTATGAGAAGCAATCCCATTCTGGGCACATCCCATTTTCCTGGCACAACAAAACCCTTACCTTGCTTTAACTTATGATAAGAGGAAGCTGCATACTGAAAGTTGTGGTCCTAGTTCTTACTGTTTAGGAGTTATTGAATAGATAGACAGATGAACTCTCTCAAATATTTATTAGATATGGCAGTGATCGTAGAAACTGATAGATGGAAATCAGTCAGATGGCAGATAGCTATCTCTTGCTACTGTTTAAGTTTTGAGCATTCATTTTTCATCTTTCAGCCTGTAGAAGCATTCCCAACATTACTATCTTTAAAAATGTTTTGTTTCCTGCTCCCTTTCCCACATATTTCAAATCATTGCATTCTATAGTTAGTTAATTTTCTTCCTATTCTCTTTCTTCTTCCAGCTGCCATCTTGATTTCCAGTTTTACTGTTTTCCACTTTTTGTGTATTTTTTCCTTGCTTTTACTTACCTCAGTTGCCTTATTCTTACCTTCATTTGTGTTTTTTCTCTTCTTCCTGTTGTCCTTTCCTGTGCATTAGTAAATAAAGCCTTTACAAGATCCCAGTCACAGACTTGCACATACTTTTACTAAAGTTATTTGTCCAAGACCTGGTTATTTTTAAGTATTAAGTTATTAATACCATTATTTGTGCTCACTGAAGTTTCAAATAAATGGATTTTTGTAATCTCATGCAAATTTTAATGAAATAAAATGAAAAAAATGAGGGGAAATGTATGTTTTTTATTGGGTTTTTGAGATATGGTTTGAGAAAACATGACCAATAGAAGAGTATATTATATTCTTTGGCTAGGAAAATACTTGTCAGTAATATAATACATAAAACAAGAAGTGACTAAGTATTTTAATGATCTACTGTTCTTTTCTTCTTTCAGTTTAACTTTGCTTCTGTTTTAAACAGTTTTATGCAGTTCTAGGCCTGCTTCTCTCACACATACCAGTATGTCTGTGTTGACCTCAGTGATGTTCCTTCTGATTTATGGTGACACAAGGGAGAGAAGATTCAGGCCTCACGTGTAGTTTAGCAAGAGAAAATCCATTCCATAGGAAGAATCTTTTATAGTAACTTTGTCTCTTTTTATTTTAGTGCAATGAAACATCCTTCTTTTTTGAAGCACGTAACAAAACCACGTGCAAACATCTTTGGAAATGCTGTGTGGAGCACCATACGTTCTTCAGGTGAGTGGAGATAAAGTTATTAAGGTTTTGCTATGTTATAACAACAAAAAGTAACCATGCTGGCTGAAATTCTTGCTGCACCTCTCAGAAGCATAGTGCAGACCCACAGCACAGGGGGTGAGGTATTAGGGTGGCCTTCTATTCTTGTGCTCTGCTGATTCTGGTCGTCTCTGTAAGACACAGGCCAGGCCAAAGTCTCTTTCCAGGCATAGTTTTATTTTTCAGCAATAGAATGCAGGCAAAAAAATCAACAAAAAGCATTTCCTCTGCTCAGATTGGGCTCCAACGCCCAGAGGCTTTGTGCTTGACTCTTGCAGTGCTGAAAAGGGGTTATTCCCTTCCTATTAATCTCCTTTCTTCAGGACCTACTGCAGAAACCCACCTCCCTCCCCAATTCCCACACTGCTGATCTCTCTCAGCGTTTTATAAGGCTCACCTGAATCCCAGGCTCTTTTCCCATTTGTGTCTGATAAATTGAACAGGGCAGTTTGACCCCGGGTATCCTGGCCCTCAGGAAAAAGCTTCCCTGTTGCATCTCATAAACATAAGAACAGCCATACTGAGTCAGACCCAAGGTTCATCTAGCCCGGTATCCTGTCTTCCAACAGTGGCCAATGCCAGATGCCCCAGAGGGAGTGAACAGGAGCAGGTAATCATCACATGATACCTCTCCTGTCACCCATTCCCAGCCCCTGACAAACAGAGGCTAGGGACATCATTCTTACCCATTTTGGCTAATAAGTATTGATGGACCTAACCTCCATGAATGTATCTAGTTCTTTCTTGAATCCTGTTCAAGTCCTGGTCTTCACAAAAGCATAAGGCAAACCCTGAGATGTATGTATGCATCTCCAAATGATTTTGATATGTCCCGGTGCGAAGCAAATTTGTTCATTTGTGTTACAAACTCCTGTAATAGTTCTGTACTCAGGCCTGCCAAGAAGGAGGGGAAGGAGTGGCAAAAGGGGCAACTGCCCTCGGGCTCGGTGATACAAAAGGACCTGGAGCTCTTGGATGTCACTTCTGCTACTGTGGCATGGTGGCAGCTGGAGCTCCGATTCCTTTAAATTGCTGCCTGGAGCAGGTGCAGTGTTTTCTCAGCGGCACTGAGGGCTTCCTAGACCCAGCCCTGCCCCCTCCTTGGGCACAGAGCAGCCTCCCTGCCATTTGCCCAGGGGCCCAGAAAGGATGTTGGCTCTGATGCCTACACTGATAATATTGCAACAGTGATGTGTCCATTATTAAGGGCACAATACTTGCTTAGATGCATTCTCCCAAAGTAAGAGCTAAGATACTCCATTACTTCATTCACTCAGGGTATGTCTACACTACCCCGCTAGTTCAAACTAGCGGGGTAATGTAGGCATACCGCACTTGCAAATGAAGCCCGGGATTTGAATTTCCCGGGCTTCATTTGCATAAGCGGGGAGCCGCCATTTTTAAAACCCCGCTCGTTCGAACCCCATGCAGCTCGAACCATGAGGAGTAACGGTAGTTCGAACTAGGAAACCTAGTTCGAACTACCTAGTTCGTGCCCCGTGTAGCCGCGCTGCACAGGGTTCGAATGGGGATTTAAAAATGGGGGAGCCCCGCTTATGCAAATGCTTATGCAAATGAAGCCCGGGAAATTCAAATCCCGGGCTTCATTTGCAAGTGCGGTATGCCTACATTACCCTCCTACTTCGAACTAGGAGGGTAGTGTAGACATACCCTCAGAATTTATTCACCGTTCTTTCATGGGAAAGAAGTTTGCAAGGTTTGTCCTCCCACCGAAGAAGTGACAAGTTCTTTGGACCTCTAAAACTGTAGCTCTTGCAGGAGTAGCAGGAGGCAAGGGCCATTCAAGACCCTGTAGCTTTGCAGGGTGCCCTGTTTCCAGTTGGGAGCCGGTTGTTAAAGAAGCCTCCTGTTCCTTGGTTCCCCCAGAATGCATGCAGCACGGCTATGGGAGCTGTGTTGGTAGCCCCTTGCCCCATCAGCTGCTGATCCCAGTGCATCACTCAAGGATAGTTCATGTTACAAAGATGGAACTTGCACAAGTTTACACCCTGGGAAGGCTGGAGGCCTCCTATTTCAATATAAGTGTATACACAGCACTTATTTCAAAATAGCTATTTCGAATTTGGCATTATTCCTCATGGAATGAGGTTGACCAAATTTGAAATAAGCGCTCCGCTATTTCGAATTAATTTCGAAATAGCAGTTTGGCTGTGTAGACACTAGTAAAGTTATTTGGAAATAACAGCTGTTATTTCTAAATAACTTTGCTGTGTAGACATACCTTTAGAGAGGAGCCATGCTTCCCCTTTTTGGATGTGCAAATTTGTGCTAACAACTTCTATTACAAGTAGAGGAAATTATTTGTCTTATAACAGCATTGCATCATCCTCAAACCATTCTACATGTACTTGATTAACTATGTATATGAGTGTATGTAAGTTTACTGTGTCTTTTTGTTCTTAAAATAATGTAGAATGCCAGAACATGAGTCAAACTCTCTATCAAGAAAATTCAGCAAGTTTGGATCCATAGGTTATAAACATCGGTACAGGTAAATTATTTCACCTTAAAATCTTTATATTCAGATAATTTCTTCCACCCTCCCCCCCCAAAAAAATGTTAATCAAAACATGCTAGTTCACAGATTATATACAGTGCGAGCCGCAAGGACAGATTTCTTGGTCTGACTGAACTGGGAACAGGAACTGGGAAGGGGCCACATCTGCTTTGCGGCTTCCTGATCCATGAGGCTAGCTGGGGACCAGTAGAGCCCATAGCACAACATAGAGGAGCCTCAGGGATGTTCTAAATTACGTCCAACCCATGGCCTGATGGAGATGGTCTAATAATTGTGGATCGCATGCAGAGATCTAGCAATAGGGATGGTGCAGAACTATATGAAACTCCGCCGACTATGGGCATCCCTCAGATCTGTTAAACTGGCTTTACAGCCCTTAGTGATGCCAGAGCAATACAAATGAACTATAGGATCTAGTCCTTTTTGGCTGAGGGAAGGGGTAGATCAAACCAATCTGCTAAATTAAAGGTTTTGTTGTTTAATGGTTGGGGCACAAGATTTGGAGTCAAAAGGCATGTGCTTTAGAACCAGGTTTGCCATATGTATCCTGTGTGACCTTGTGTTAACTTCCATGTGAACTGCAGATGTTCACCGCCTCTGGGAATCAGGCCACTTACTGGCTCAGGCCAGCAGTCAGGAGTGTGAATTATTTGTCAGTTTAAATCTGAAAATGTTTAATATCTTTCCTGAGTTTGGTAAACACAGGAATGCTTAGGTTTTAATTTTTTTCCCCATAATGTCTAAAAGAAAAAAGAAAAATGTGAGAGCTGCACTGGGTATTCAGGACAGTATGCTTTTCAGGAAGAAGTACATATATTTACAGACTATGGCCTAATTCACATTTACACACATTTACTGTAGTCATGTGTGTCAGAGTTTTAAAAGGGGTGTAAATATAAATGCTCACACCGCTATGTTCCTTTTACATTGCTTTTGCAAAGAAAAGGGGCCTTGGCATAAATGAAAATCATGATATTTTGATGCTGACAGTGGCTTGTTGAAACCTTGCATCGCACTGAGTTTGGTGTCCCTTTATCATTCCCAGTGTGATGCTGTGAAATATTAGAGCAACTATTTGTTGCCTCAAACAGAGAAACATTAAAGGTGTATTTTAGTAAGACAAATGACTGTAAAAATTAATTCAGGACATTAAAATGAGAGCAATCAAATTACTTAACCTTCAAGCATCCAGTTTTCTTTTTTATCATGAGGCTCCCAAAAAAGGCCATGCTGTGTTGGCTACTGTCTTAGTTCTTAATAAAGCAGCATTTTGTGAGGATTCTGGGATTGCTTCCTTACACTCAGTTGGAAAAATACCAAATGCAGAAGAGATTGGCATGATCTGTTGACAGTTGCGCCAAGGTTTGATTTGAAACAAGATCACAATGAATAGCATTGCCATTAATACCACACAGCCTGCTGTGTGAACAGGAACATTAGAATTTGAATGAAGGTTCCATGGGTAGCGGATGGATGACTAATTCACTGTGCTTTCCCAATTCAGCACAATTTCTCTAAGTAAAAATGTTAAGTGGCTTTAAGGTTCAGTTTGCAATATTCTACTTATCCATCGTATTGATTTTCAAGTGGCAGGACAGCTTTGCAGATGAGTAGAGAACTTTCTGTCCAGCTTCCTCGGCCTGACCAAAATGTTGAAAGAAGTCGTAGTAAAACTTATCCAAAAAGAATGGCCCAAACTCAACAGCCTGGTAAGCCCTGTTTGAACTTTTCTGTTTATTTTGTCAAAAGAGAGGCTTTTTGTTTGACCAAAGATGTTTCACTCTATTTTCAGGAAGCCAAGCAGTTATGACAGTAGCCTGGAGTTTCTCTTGAAATGTGTATTCTATTCTATTTTTTTACCCTGACATAAACATACCAGTATTACCTAGAGCTAAGAATCCAACTTTATGAATAAGTAATAAAGGAGTGTGGATTAGTGATAGAAGTGCATTTTTCTAGACTCAGATATACAGTGTTGTAGAGTAGCATGAAAATGTAATCAAAAGGCTGTTTTCCCAAAGGCTATGTTTGTAGCACATTGCAGTTTGTACAGTGGGTGTGAATTGCTGCTCACACTAGCATGCTGTAGTGTAACTTTCTCCTGTGGACACTGCAGTACACATAAAAAGGTACCTAGTTCTAAGTCCTATTTTAAAGAGCATGTCATTAGTCTAAACTTCTATTTTGTGCTTGCAATATCCACATGGGGGAGTTACAGTGCAGCATGCTAGTGTACACTGCAATTCACATTCCTGCGACCTGAAATGTAGACCAGTCCAAAGACTTTCTGTGAACAAAGAACATTAGACCTACATAATTTTTCTGGGATCCCAGAATCATGCAGCAGCACTGCTTCACCCAACCATTCTTCTCCTCACTGCTTTTCTCCAGTATAGTACAACTATTCTAATATCACTTGTGTTTATTTTGCTGTTAGATTTAAGTTGCCACCCTCTCTCAGATTTTCAGTCTGCTTTAGATTTGTATGTTGAAAACTAATAACTGCATTGTCAAAATGTCACAGGGAAGCTGGTTGGGGATATTTAGGACTGCAGGAGTTGTCATCAACATAATAAACAGTTCATGATTTTAAGATTTTTAGGCCTTTATCCCTACAAGTATTTATGCATGTACTTAACTGTACACCAGGGGTTGGCAACCCTTCTGAAGTGGCATTCCAAAATTTAAACCTCCTGCTCTGGGCCGTGCCACTCTCCCAGGAGAGGGGGAGGGGTTCTCTCCACTTGGTCTCCTGCCCTGGGCTCCTCACCGGCTTTCCCTGTGGGGAGGGAAGGAGCAGTGTGCGCTTCCCTGGAAGCTGGATACAGTGCAGAGCCTTGGGGCTTTCCCCTCCCCCCCCTACAGGAAGCCGGCACTGGCTCCAGTCCTGTGGGGGCGTGATGCTGGATCGCCAACATGGGTTGGGGTCAGGATGGCTTGGGGGGAGGATCAGGGAAATTGGTGAGGTGTGGTCTGTGGGTGACCCTGGGGCATCCAGCCCTGTTTGGGGGTGGGGTCTCATGGAGGTTCAGTCCATGGCGCCCTCACTTTTCTGCCAGGGACTCAGATGCCCAGGGGCCAATGCGGCTTTGGGGGAGGGGAACCACCCACATATTTTTCTCTACCCTCAGCCACCTCCGCCACCACCCAGCCCTGGGGCCAGAGCCCGGGCAGCGCTCACCCTGTAGGCCAGTGGTTCTCAAACTTTTTGGTCCATGGACTACCTGGCTCAATGAAAACCTTTCTGTGGACCACCAGTTGCTAATGGACACTCACCGTTAATTACATAATTAGCCCAAGCCATTTTGCTAGTGTTACAGCTAAGAAGAATGGTTTAATTTACATTATTAAACAGATTAAGCATTTAACTTACTCGTGTTAGTTTATCAAACGTCATTTTAAATAAAGTAAAATATATGTTTTCTGTACTTATGGCAGGGGTGGGGAACTATCAGTTGGAGACTACACAAGTGAGAAGCAAAAAAACTACTCCAAAACCCCTGAGTCCTCTGAGCCTGACCCCATCACACCCCAGTCCCCAATTCCCCCGTAATATCCTCATCCCGGCCCCCACTTTACCTGGCCCTTACGACCATACCCCTCCCATGGGGGAGGGGAGGTCCCGGCTCTGTTCAGGGTCCCTGTGCTGCCTGGTGGAAGCAGGTGTGGAGTTGGGGCAACTCTCAGGAGTACTGGCGGGAAGACTCCCCCAACCCATTGCTTCTTTTTCATCCAGACCCCGACTGCCATATCACCCCCTAGCCCTCAACACCCCAGATCCCCCCTGCCCATCTCACACGGTGGCAGCTGCTTAGGGATGGTCCTGGCCAGGTCCCGGGGGCAGGGCAGTCTGTTCCCACCCCCCATAGCTGCGGGTCCCCACATGCCAATGGGGCTGGGGCGGGTGGAGCAGCAGCGAGCATGCTGGTGTGGGATCTCAATCCTGCAGCTCTGGACAGGGTCCCTGGGCCTCCCAGTGGAAGCAGGTGGGGAGCCAAGGCAGCTCTCGGGAGCACCGGGGGCGGACTCTCCCACCCCACTGCTTCCTTCTCCCTGTCCTATGTCAGAGGCTGGGCCACCCAGACTCTGCTCTCAGGTTTGGAGGGTAACCAAGAAGACACAAATCACTTAATGTGAATAAATGCATGGTTTATTAGATATTACAGGTGATATAAAAAGAAAACAACAGAAGGCTTACAACATTCCTTGGCTTGCTAGGGACTCCGACTCAGCAAAGAATGGACTCCTGGCCAGGTTCGAAAGGCACTTCTGGACAGTTCCAAGTCCTTCAGGAAGTCCAAAGGGCGCTGGCAACAGTAAACAATATATAGTCTGTACACAAAATTCTAGAAGCAGCAACTATGTGCAGAGAAAAAAACCTCCAAAACCAAACACCTACCTCCGTGAGAAGATTCCCACAGACAGGCTTGTTTACCCCAAAGCTTATCTAAACTATGCGGTGAGCCTATCTCGCTAACAACCTAGCTAGCTGGGAATTTTCCTTGCTAACAGCAGGCCAAAGCCTGTTTTCTAGTTTGCAGACGTGAGAACTGGGAAGATTGACTACTCCTCGAAATACAATGGTTTTTCAACCACAACACTTCCCCAGTTCCCCTGCATGTTGTCGGGGTTGGGATGGGCGGAGCAGTAGCAGCTCATATGTGGGGGTGAGGTTGCAGTCCTGTGGGGTAGGCTGTCCTGGCTCTGTGTGGGTTCCCTGTGCTTCCCGGTGGAGGCTGGTGAGGAGCTGGGGTGGCTCTTGGGAATATGGGGGTGGTGGATGTGAATTGGGGCTTTCTTTATCTTCCCCCCTTCTGTGCCTGGAAACTAGAGCTGGTTCTCCAAGCCTCACAGCTGTGCAGGCCCTGGAGAGGTGGGAGCTGAGCTCATGCCACGGATTTCATGTTGCATTGAATATCAGCTCAAGTGCCATTTATGGCACACGTGCCATAGGTTGCTGACCCCTGCCTTACACAAATGAGTAGATGTATTGATTTCAGTAGCATTACCCAGGTGCATAAAATTAAACAAGTGCACAAGTGTTTGCAGGTCTGAGGATTTAGTCCACAATATTTGAAAATTTAGCAAGTTTTTCTTCATACTAAAAGTTGAAATATTAGAGGTATTCAAAAGCACCAATTTTTTGTACGTAGTCTATACTGATACTTACATAGTGAAACAATAGATTTTTACTTTTTAATCTTAATGTTGTCTTCAGTGTTCCTGGAAGCTGCGGGGCAGCACAGCTTCACAGGTGAATAATCAGCCCTGCCCAGTCAGAGGTTCAGAGCTCTGTGCATGCTGCTGACTGAGTGGGGCTGATTAATCACCTGTGAAGCTGTGCTGCTCCTCAGTTTAGAGGGAACATTTTGGTTGTCTTTAATATTTTTTTTTGTTATATTTTCTGATATTTGTACCTTCATCTTTGACAAAATTTTTATGGAATAAATAAGGAACGCTAAAGTAAGAAATTTACTCAGAACAAATATTAAAGAGAACAAAAAACAACCCCCCCCAAAACAAACAAGCAAATCTGAATCCTAACAACATTGAAAGCCAACTTCTTGAACATGGAATAAATGCCAGTGAGTCGTTATCTTAATTTATTCCTGAATCATTTGCAGTTGTAGAATGGTAATGTTTTATGAGAACACTGTTTAATCATCTGTTCCACCTTAAGTTGAGAGCTTTTGAAAATCCTATCAGTATAGTTGTTGTTGTTATGATTTATTTATTTCCTAGTTTATTTACTATTACTATTTACTATTACTACCTAAATAGTTATCTAGGGTTTAGAGCAGGGCTACTCAACACAAGGCCTGGCCCACAGCCCGTTTGTTTGCAGCCTGCAGGGCAGTTTGGGTTTATGTGGGGCTCAACGTTCAGCCCTTGGGTTTATGTGGGGCTCAACAAAAAAGTAGTCAATGTAATGGTCTTCTGTTGATATGTGTTTTAGTAGTTACATTCCTGGACTGTCATTGCTCATTAAAAGTGCTGTCATGTGGGTGGAAACTGGGGTAAATATTGCATTTTATTAATATCAGCAGAACTGACATAAATGGGGCCTTTGTGTTGTGTAGTCTTGTCTTAATCTTTGTATTCATGCCTGTCAGTATGAAAAAAGCTATTTGCATGTATATGTAACCACATGTAAGTTGCAGCCCTTGGCATGTGCTATGAGTATCATTGTGGCCCCCGGAGCTTCCAAAGTTGAGTAGCCCTGGTTTAGAGCCTGGATTGGGAACTAGGAGGGCTGGATTTTAATCCTAGCTCTGCCACCAGGTCTTGTGGACTTGAGTTAATCAATCAATCTCTCTGCCTCAAGTACCCCAACTGGAAACATTGAGATGATAATGGCCACTACTGTACCCACTTTGCATGGGGGGGTTATGAGTTTTAATTAGTTAATGTTTAAATGCTTAATACCTATAGAGTGAGATTTTTAAAAGCACTCAGCATTGGTCTTACTTTGCTCCCATTAAAGTCTGTAATAGATTTAAGAGCGGAGTGAAGCCAACATGGAGAGCTTTTGAAAATCCTACTAATATAGTGCCCTATAAAATACAGCTGTTTGTTCTCATCATTATGATGTGATTATTTCCTAGTTTGTTTACATAGCTATTCATATCACGGGGCAGATGTTCCTCTACTGTATAAACAACAGTGAGAGGGGAAAACTGCACTGGAGACCCTGATAGATTTTCTTTGT